GGGCCACAACAGGCATTTTTACAGGAGATTTGGAGGGTGGAAGAAAAGCAGCGGCTGTGTCCATACACTTGCAAAATCTGGACAGGAGGTTTGCAGCCCATGAACTTTGTTGCTGATTGCTGACACACGTCGTTGACCTGGGATAACAAGCTGGCGCCTACTCCCCCTTTCCCCAGATCCTCCTCCAGCTTCTTTGACTCCTGGGCCAGATAACAGAGGGCACCCTCCTCTCCTACAGGACACACACATCATCAAGTTTGGAGGTAGTGGGAACCAACACGAGTTCTGGTGTGCCATCAAAGGTTCCAGCTTATGCTCATGGATTCCAGCTTGTTCTTTCTCTCCCCGACTTTATATTCATCTTTCCTTCCCAGTGGCCTGACTTGGGGACTTTTAAGCTCCACCATCATATGTAAAACAACAGTATTACAGGGACTGTTTAACAATTACCCAAAGCCAAATTCCTGTAACAAATGCTTTTTGCTTCTCCAATTAAACCCAAACTAATACAATAGCATAGGCATATGTCTAATTTCATATGAAACTGCCAAACCATTACCTGAAATGGTTTTACTCATACTCCATCAGTAGAGTAAAAGAGTTCCAGTTGCCTCACATCCTCATCAATATAAAAATTAGCAGTTAGGGAGCGCCTGGGTGGCTCAGTGGGTTAAAGCCTCTGCCTTCGGCTCAGGTTGTGATCTCAGGGTCCTGGGATCGAGCCCCACATCGGGCTCTCTGCTCAGCCGGGAGCCTGCTTCCCTCTCTCTCTCTGCCTGCCTCTCTGCCTACTTGTGATCTCTCTCTCTCTCTGTCAAATGAATAAAATCTTAAAAAAAAATTAGCAGTTAGTTTTGTAAAAACATGACACTGTGCAAACCAAAGCAGGGCAATGGGCCATCACTCTTCAGCCTCTGCTCGGAACCATGCCCTTGTGGAGGAAATTTTGCAATATCAAGATCACAAATGCACATATTCTTCATCCTAACAAACCCAGTTCTGGCATTGGTCATGCAGATAATGCTTGCAAAGAATACTGAACTATGAATGTATGAGGTTTTTCACTTTTACATTATTGCTACTAATAACAGAAGGTTAGAAACGACTTAAATGTCCAAATAGAGGACTGATTAATTACATTTTGTACAGACAATAGAATTTTTTATGGATTTAAAAACAGGAAATTTTCAATGTATTGATATAGAAAAATCTTGCATTAGTTGAGATTCTCTGGAGAAACTAAGGGGAGATGATATAGAGACAGATGGTATAGATGATACAGATAGAGATTTATAAGAAGTAATTAGCTCATGTGATGAGTGAGGCTGCCAAGTTGCAAGATCTACAGAATGAGTCAGCAAACTGGAAACTAGGAGAGTCAAATCCAAAGGCTGGCAGGTTCAGGACACAGGAAGAATTGATATCTCAGTTAGAGTCTAAAGGCAGGGGAAAAAGGCAAATCCTAGTTCAAAGGCCATCAAGAAGAAGAAATTTTCTCTTACTCAGGGAAGAGACATCCTTTTTATTCTTTTCAGGTCTTCAACTGATTGAATGAGGCCCACCCACATGAAGACAAGCAATCTGCTTTACTCAGTCTACTTTTAAATTTAAACGTCAATCTCATTTGAAAACACCCTCACAGAATGTTTGACTAAATTATGGGCATCCTGTGTCCCAGTTAAGTTGGCATATAACATTGGCTATCACATATCTATAAGAGATCATATTGAATGGAAATCGAGACACAGAATAGTGTGGGTAATATGCTTCCCCTTTATGGTAAGAAAAAAAAAAAAGAGGAGGATGCAGAATAACAATAAATGTGCATATTTGCTTGTATTCACCAAAAGACATTCTGGCAGAATGTACAAAAACTAAAGATAAAAAAAAGTTAAGCCTATTGAAGTTTGTGGGCATCAAGGAGACATTTTACTTTTTATGTGTGTTTTAATTATGTGTATTTTATCTGTTTAAAACATTGAATAACAAAAAATGTTAAGTACCACTTTGCATGCATTCTCCTCTTCTAGGATTGTGAACACTGGGGGAGACAAATCATGTTTTATATTCATCTTTGTGTTCCTGGCATTTAGTACATAGTAGTCACTAAATAAACATTAGAGGAATGAATGAATTCATGAATGATCCAGAAGAAATCAGATTTCATGTGGGTCAGAAAGTGAAGAGGAGTGTGAGGATCAGAGGGGGAGAAATATTACAATGGCTATCAGAGGGGAAGTTTGGAGAACAAGAAGGATGTTTCAAGAAGAGTTATAGGATTATAATGTGTGATGTAACCCACTTTCATATTTATTCCCAAGAAACATTCAATAAAATTCTCCATTGTTTTGGGAACTTAATTTGTAGGGTGTCAAATATGATTTTAGATTCAGGCATATCTGGATACTAGGAATAGCTGGGGTCAGGGGAGGAACTCAAGGAAGAGGAACCTCCAGGACTTGGCCCAGCCTCTGCCATGGAGGGAGCTAGCAGACTCTTGAGAGGGGACTCCTGCCACAAAACCTGTATTCTGGGCCCACTGTGTCCCTGTCAGGCAGATCCATGCCCTACCCCACTTCCTGGTCCCCAAGCCCCTCTACACACCATTCCTACCAGCTCCACACACAGGAGTCTACAGGTGTGCTCCATGACAATGGATTCAGAGAACAAAACTCTGGAGACTCAAGACAAACTATAGCAGAATAATAGTGCTAGAGCTGGGGTCAATATGTGTGAGGGCTGGTGGTTAATTTGGGGAAGGTAGAAGATCAGGCTGAAGACAGTGTTAACCTAAGACCAAGCTGAGTGCAGGGAAGAGGCTCAGATCAAGGTCAGGAGTCGTTCTCAATTTTTATGTTTATTATTTTAGGAACTCAGGTGAACAGAATTGGACTGCACATACTCCTTAGTTCATGACACTCTCTCCTGCTTTTCTCTAAACAGCCCACTATGAACACCTATAAATCCACCACCTGCCCAAGGACTAAAACATTACAAATAACTTATGTGCATGCTTCTTGCCTCTCTGCCCTCTGCTTCCTCTCAAAGGTAACTGCTGTCCTAGCTGTTATCCTTTTATTGCTTTTTCCTCCTTGTGGTAGACAGCTTCTAAAATGGCTCCCAATTATCCCTGTCTCCTGGGATTCACACCCATGTGTACCTCTCCCCTTGAAGGTGGTCTGGAGCTCATGACTTACTTCTAATAAATAGGATACAACAAGTGTGATGGCTGTCACTTCCATGATGACATTAGAGAAGACTGTAACTGCCATCTTGCTAGCAGACTCTGTTAACTCTCTCCTTTGCTGGCTTTGGTGAAGTAAGCTAGCATACTCACTGGACATGACCATAGGGGAAGGAAAGGAGGGCAGCACCACCCAACAACCAGCAAGAAAGTGAAACCTTCAGCCCAACAGCTTACAAGGAACCGAACCCTGTCAACAACCAAGTAAACTTGGAAATGAATCCTTCCCCAGTCAAGACTTCAGATGAAACCACAGCTCTAGCTAACACTTTGATTGCAGTCTTAGGAGAAACTCTGAAGCAGAGAACCCAGCTTGGCCACACCTAGACTCTTGACCCACAGAAGATATGAGAAAATACATAATTAATTCAAGCCAATAATATATAAATAATTCAAGCCACCAAGTTTGTGGTAATTTCTTACATATGATAGACACTCATACAAGTTCTTTTCAATTTTTTTCTATTACAGAGAATGTCACTATAAACATTGCTGTACAGGTGTCGCAGAATACAGAACACAAGACCTTAAGTTTCCCCTAGGTATATGCTGAGTATATGTGTAGGAATAGAATTGTGGGGTCTCAGAATGTTACCAGTAGTTGGTTAATTATTAGAGTTAGGGTCACATCATGGCCAGACCATCTTGGTCAGGTTTGAGAGTCATAGAACCATAGAACCATAGAACTAGGGGTCAGTCTGTGAGAGGGGCTGGGAGTCATACAGAGGATAGATTTGGGGGTCCGTAAATGGGCAGGGTTGGAGGTGAGGATGTGGTTACATTTGGGGAGAATGTGAAGACTCGGCTTGGATTTGGGTTTGGACAGTGTTGGAAGATACTGTGAGGGTGGGTTTGGCGGTCAGTCTAAAGCCAGAGTTAGAAGTCAGGCTGTTCAAGTGCACAAGATCTGACCCCTGTGCTGTCATCAACCTTCCAGGCAGTGGCCACCCAGGGTCCAGGTGCCCACAAGGTGAGACCCATTCTGGGCTTACAAGGCTCTTTCACTCAAAAAGGTGGTGGTGATGGTGGGACACAGCATTAAGAGGGGCAAGAAATCTGGGCAGAGAGAGAAGGTGGTCGCAGGAAAGATAGCACAACTTCTTTAATGGGGGTAATGTGATCCCATAACTTCCAAGCATTCTCAAAGTTCCCCCCACAGGAGAAGAGGGTGATTGGGACAGACACAGTCCATGTCTTCCCTACTCCTGGCTGAACCCACTCCTCACCCCTTCTTCTCCAGCTGCTGTGTTCTCCATCCTCGACTTGGGTCCCAGGTGAGCTTCCAGGAGAGGCAAGGATCTCCCTTGGCTGCCTGGGGCAACTTCCTCCCCAGCCCAGACCACAGACAGCTAGCCTGGATGGAGATGCCGCTATCTTCAGAGCTGGGCTGGGACCTGTTTCTAAGGGTGTGGACCGAGCCAGGGCACCACCCCCCAAGGACCACAGCAGGGAGCACCAAAGTGGAGCCCCTGGTTCTGGGTACTGCTTTGGGGAGCATGCGAGGTCTCTGCACGTGGCTTCTGGGTTCTGGAAAGCGGTCCATTCTCCTGACCCGGGTGGAGTGGAAGGAGGTGGCTCAGTCCAGGGGCTCTGCTCTGAAGGCGCCTGCCTCACTGATCCTCCCTCCCATACTCGCCCCCATCCCAAGGGAGGGGCGCGCCGGCTCCCGAGGAGACTCATTGGAGCTGCTGGCTCCGCCCGCCCATTGGTCAGTCAGTAGGTCGGTGGGTGCCTGGGTGGGTGCGTCGGTTCGCGGCGTCTGGGCTCAGGCGGGTACTGGGGCGTCCCAGCGTGGCCCGGGCCACGGCTCACCGCTGCTTACGCTCTGCCTGCTGGAGCCGCCGGGAGAGGTCGTCGATGCGCACGTTCTTGAGCTGGAGCAAGTGCTCCAAACGCCTCACCTTCATCTGCAGGACCTGGGCCACGAGGCACAGAGATGAAGTCAGCTGCCTGCTGCCCTTTGTCCCCACCACTGCAGTCCCTAAGCACCCATTGCCCCACCATCGCCCACGCCTTCCCCAGTCACCCTCACCTGCACGGTCTCCTGCGAAGCCAACAACTCCTGCTCTTTTTCAGCGATCTGGAGGACGAAGCTTGGGTCGCCGCCCTGCACTGCCTGGCCATATCCCGGAGGCCCGGGCGGGGGCAGCCGGCCCCCCCCTGGGGTGGGAAGCAGCTTAGCGGAGGCCTGGATCTGGGGCCCCACTCTTACCCTTCTGATGCTCTTCGGCCAGACTCTCCTTCCCTCATCCCCTCCCCGCAACCTCGTTCCTGCTTCCCAGGAAGCGCTGTGTTGGGGGATCACCAGACCTGGTGAGATAGGAACTCGGCTTTCTTACCTGACCTGCCCCCCTCCCTGGGGGTCTGGGGCACCTTCCCCTCGGGCCTTCTGGGACAAACCTGAGAAGAGGCAAGTGGAGGAGTTGGTCGAGCTGGAGTTTCTTTTTCCTGACTTCTCTCTCCCTCCCCTCCCCCATAGGTAGGACAGAAGGAAAGCTGCTCCTGGGAGGGAAGAAAAGTAAAGACCACTTTACCCACATCCATGTAGCCAGTGCCATCCTGGGGAGCCAGCTCCTGAAATAATACCCCCCCACCCCGGGGGGTTTATTGTGAGTTCAGTCTCGCTCATCCGCAAGGAGCCCCATGTCTCTTCCGTGGTCCCCAAGGCCAGCCTCTGTTTGCCAAACACCCTCTCCGACATCTGTCGGCAAAGCGGGGCTTCCTGCTGCCTGGAAAGAGGCTCGGGTGGGGCGGCACCTGTAAGGAGCTCATGCGCTGCTTCCTGAGCCTCTGCCGCTCCTCCAGGCGCTGCCTCAGCGGAATGAGCACTAACTCCACCACGCCCGGCGCGCATTGCGCGATTTTGCGCATCACATCTTCTGGTACGGAGAAGTTCAGTTTGTTCAGCACCTTCCTGGCAGACAGGCACAGGGATGGCGGACTGGGTCCCCAGGGAATGAACTGAGGGGCGTGGAGTAGAAGGAAGCGTTGCAGCCCTGGGGGAATGAACCTGATTCTTGGTGTCCTCTTTCCTGTCTCCTCCCCAATAAAGGAGTCCCTTGATTTTGTTACCAGATCCTGACTGTGTTGTCCCTCCCTACTCTGCCACAAACAGAATCCCAGCCTGGGCTTTGGAGACCATGGGAGGTGTGTGTCGGGGGGGGGGGGGGCATGGTAGGGCAGCCCTTCCTGGGATCCCGTGGTCTGGGTAGGGGATGGAGATTCGAGTAGCGCACCAGGCATTCTGCTACCTGTTTAGGTGACCCCAGTTGCTGAGCTTCTGTTGGAGAGAGTTGGCAGGGACATAATTGTGCATCTCCACCATCTTGGGGAAGTAAAACTTGATGACTTCTGCGACCAGGACTGAGGGAATGGGAGCAGACAAGGAAGGGAGTAAGGGAAAAGGAGTAGGGAGAAGATGTGGATGGGATGGGAGAATCATGGATTGCAGAGTGGTGGGGCCAAGCAAAGAGGTGATGTGGAAAGGGAAAGGATGATAGGGATGCAGGGGTGGTGGAAGAGAGGGAAAGGGGTTCAAGAAAGCAAGACCAGAAATCAGTAATCATCCTCCAGCATACCCCAGAGGAGAGGCATCCCATTCCCCTCAGCTCAGGCATATGAAAACTAGGGTCTCTGGTCCTCTAGTAGAGAATGAGTCTCCAAGAGAGCCTGTCAGGAGCCTGGGGTCCCATCCTAGTCATTTACATGGAAACACACACACTCCCAACACCAAAATCCCAGGAAAGAGTCACAGATTCACACAAGCAGACACATGTGATAAAATCCCCCTACAGATATGCACATAGGACAAAGTGTGTAGACACACAGGACACACACATGCCCATACATACACAGGCCCACATATAGCACACACATATACAACACACAGAGATGCACAAACACATACACAGATACATATTTCATTGAAGTTCAAGAGAGTCACACACAAGCACAGTAAGTCACATAGGCACCAATGTACTAATGTACCAGAGACACATACTTCTGTCATTAAAATCTCAAGAGACACCCTTAGACACACAGACACCTAATAATCACAAAGAAACACATATGCACACAAGACCCCCTACCTGCATACAGGACAGAACCCATCAACAAACATATGAACATACACATGCACAGACTCCCACAAGACAGATATATGGAATACAGCAAAGAACAAGTACACACACAAAGAAGCACAAAAACATACACAAATACACGTCTTATTCATTAAGGTGTCAGGAGGGAGTCACAGACTCACACAGTTAGACACACACAATCATCACCGCCACACATGCATAAAGGACAGAACAAGGGGACATACATATGGATACACACATATTCATATTCCCACAGAAACACACACACATATACACAATTAAAGTTCTAAGAGGTAGTCAGACACCCCCCAACACACATACCCACACGCACCGAAGCACAAAGAGACATATGCATACAGACCCCTTACACATGTACGTACAGGACAGAACGTGTCAACAAACACGGGCACACGGGACATACACACAGGAGCGCACACATACTGAGGTGCACACCTCCGTCACTGAAGTCCCTGGAGAGATTTCGCTTGGGCCGGGACAGAGGGATGTTGTCTACCCACAGGTACAGCTGGTGCAGCGCCTCCTCGTCCACGCTGCCCGCCATTGGCACCCTCGGCAAGGCAAGGCCAGGCCGTTCCAGCCGTGCAGAGTCCAGCCCCAACTTCACGATCCCTCAGGTGCCTCTTCTCTCGCCACTGACGGAGACCAGACCTGCCTCTGCCTCTCTAATCCGAAGACTCTTCTCCCAGCTGGGTGCAGCCATATTGTTTTCTGAAACCATAGCAACTATCCCTGGCTGGGCGGGGAGCAGGGGATTCTGGGAGTTGTAGTTTTCTCCCTCTACTTACTCTCAGGCCCCAGCTTTGAAAAGGCGATTAAGTGGCCTTGTCCTCCCAGTATCTGCGCCAAGCGCCACCTGATCAGCCAAACTGGCCCACTCTGAAACCTGTCAGTGCCAACCAGGCCCTCAGTATCCCTGCACCAGCCTCCCCAGGGCTGGGATTCCCCTTCCCCATCCTTTAGTGATCAATCCCAAGTGAAGGCGGCATCCCAATGTTTGTCAGCTTCATCTGGGCGTCCACTGCTAATCATCTGCTGCTTCCCAGCTGGATTGTGTGACAGGCTGTGTGACTGTGTCTCCTGGCTGGGTCCCTCCTCAGAGCTCTGTGCTATTAGGGCCATCAACACCAGTGCCCTTCCCAGCAGTGTCCTGGTAGGGCATTTAATATGTCCCCCAGATTCCCAGGGAGAATACTAGGGTTCAGGGCCAGTGCCTTGGGCAGGTTATTTAACTCCTTAATCTTATTTCTCCTTTTGTGAAGTGGAAATGGTTCTCGCCTATTTGTCCCAACAGGGTAATAGGGAGGAAAATGGGAAGGGTATTTATGGAAGATCTGCATTTGTATGGGGGCTGGGGGTATGGGAGTAAAAGCTGCAAGAGCTCCAGTAGACACTTCCACAGCCCCTCACCTCCTTCCGAGAGCTATCTTCCGTGGGTTAGAAATGGATTTCAGTAGCCAATTCCATTTCAAAAGAGCACTGTTTGTAGTAGGGTTAGGGATATGGGTCCTTCCTTAGCGAAGGGACACAGAGTAGCAGGAAAAGAGGCACTTCTAGGATCAGCCAGAAAAGAAAGTTTGCTTCCACCAAAGACTAGCAATGTAGCTTTGGGCACATTACTGGACCTTTCTGTGCCTGTTTTCACATGGTTTTACCTACTTCATAGGGATTCGTGAGCATTGGAAGTGCTTAGCACAGCACCTGGCACACAGCAAGGGCCCTATTAACATCAGTTGGTGCTATCACTAATGAGACGATCTCAGTTCCAACAGAAGAGACAAACGGAAATGATTTGCCTTGTTGGTGTTTGAGGGAGGGGCCATGTTGAACAGGGAGAAGACTACTGCTCCTGCCCCCCCCTTACTCTGGAGCAGGCGGTGGGGGTGGTGGTGCTGGGCTTCCTTTAAGACTTTCTGGTTTCCTCCTCCACAGCTCAGATGGGGGTGGGGGGATGATGGTAAGGGGAATCCCAACTACGTTTTGCAGTCCCTTAGTCCTTTAGTTTCGTTGTCCTCAAGGCCTACAGGGGAAATCTGAGTGCCAGAAGTCTGGAAGGCCAAGTGTGGAATTGTCACTCTACCTTCTTGATTTAAAGTCATACATAGTAGCCTTGCCTTTCTGGAAGAGACCACACCCAGGGTAGGGAAGGGACTAAAGACGACTTAGATATACCCCCCTTAACATTCCAGGGTGGAGAGAGGAAGAACTGAAAGGAAGTGGTGGGGAGGGAACCACAGCAGCAATGTGCCAGCCCCAGTGGAGGTGGGAAAACCGGTTTGGGGCCCAGAGCTGAGCGGCCTCCTCAGGCCCAGGCCTCCCCCTGGCTGGAACCACTGGGGCCTGAGGGCCTCAATGAGGGAGGGGCTGGGTCATGAAAGGAGAAAAGGGGTAGGATCAGCAGAGACACCAGGCTTCACCTTTGGACTGGGGTGCCCCCAGCCTCTTGGGGGTGCAGTCTGTCCCAGGAATTTTATCTTCCTCCTGCCACTGTCCCCAGGATGGCCACCAGGCTTGGAGATGCTAATCCCTGAAAGGTCTAAAGGGCTCCCTCTTAAGGCATTAAAGGTAGACCAAGGGATGCTCTGTATGTCCCTCCAGACTCTAACCTGGACCACAGAAGTTGCCCCAGCACCCCTTTTGCTCTGTCCTCTGGGCCCACTCCTGCAAGGACCTTCTTTAATGGGTTTAACAGGCCTAGTTCCCAGTTTAACTTGGCCCAACAGGGATAGTTGGCTCCCTCCCTCCTCTCCTAGCCAACTGACCCCAACTTCTAACCCCAAAGCAGTGCAAGGCCCAGCTTTCCTCAAACCCAAACAGGTACACTGAAGATCCCTTCCTCCCCAAGCCTAGATAACATTTAGATATGGAGGTGGCCCCTCACCCCAGTCAGGACTTGAATTGTGGCTACCCTCTCAACAGTTGGTTCCATGTCCCACCAGAAAAAGGACCAAAAGGAACCAAGAAAGGACGTGTTCCCAAGACAGACGCAAGCCCAGACCATGAAGGATGCACCCTTGGCTGTTAAAACGTTCACCCCCACAAAAGGGGAGTGGACGGATTTATTGAATTCAGACTGGGAAAGGAGCAGCTGGATGGCTGGACTATGGGCCCAGCCCCAGGCCCCCTGCCCAGGATAGGGCCCTGCCAGAGAGGGAGGAGAGGCATGGGGCCTGCAGCTACCCACAAGGAAGTGCCCACTATCACTCCCCTGAAGGGCCTCTTGGGAATCTCCAATCTGGAAAGAAAACCAAGGGCCAAAGTAAGCTGGCCTGGGCCAGAGAAAGGGATTGGGAAGATGGGGAAGCAGGCAGAGGCAGGCTCAGGAGCCTGCGGTGAGTTAGACTGTGCTTCTCAAGGCGGCCCAGGGGCAGGGGTAGGGGGCTGCCAGCCTTGTGGGGGCCTAGGCTGGACCTTCCTCTGGAGCCCTTCCCAAAATGGCTTTGGGGTCCCCCCCACCAAAGACCTGGTGTGGACGGCAGAGGGGAGAGGCACTCTCCGGCCGGGAGCTTCCAGGGCCCACCCCTGGCTGCTCCTGGGGCCTAGTCCACAGATGGCACGGTGTGGTAGCACCGGACAGCTCCCCACCTGGTCCCCCAAGCCCAGGGGGCAAATGGGGAGGAAGGAGGACTCTGAGAAAGAGGCAATAAGCAGGCAGTGAGGCTGACCCCAGCCCTGGGCCCTACCGAGGTGGCTGGGCCTGTCACAGGGCCTGAGGAACATCACTAAAGAATCTGGAGCTCCCCACTCTGGCTCTATCCACAGCGGCTGCCCGGAGAGTCCTCTGCCCTGGGCTGGTGCTGCCACATCCGGGTCGGGCACGACTAGGCCCAGTGGCTCAGCTTTGATGTCCAAGACCCCGAACTCCCGCCTGCCTGGCGTGGTTCTTCCTGGTCACATGGACCAGATCATGTTCCAAGTGAAGGATGTGGCTCTGCACTCGGTCGTCAATGGGGAAGGAAGTCAGGTACCTCTTGACCATAGCGAAGTAGGCCATGGCTTCCCCAAAGCTGGGCACAGGCACCTCATCACTATCCTCCTCATCGTCTTCATCATCTTCATCCTCCTCATCATCCTCATCTTCCTCCTCTTCCTCACTGTCAGACTCAGAGTCCTCTTCACCCTCCAAAAAATGGAGGGTAGGGCACTGGGCCTCCTCTTGGGCACTGTAGCCCCCGAAGCTGCCACCGGCTTCCACTACCCCCTGGGCCCAGTCCTCAGCCTCCAGCCCCTCAGAGGAGCTCTCTTCCTCCTCCTCCTCCTCCTCCTCATCACTGTCATCCACATCACCCTCCTCTTCCACCTCCTCTTCCTCCCCCAACTCCTCTCCTTCCCCTCCTTCCTCCTCCTCGCCTTCTTCTTCCTCTTCCTCCTCCTCCCCTTCACCCTCCTCCTCCTCTTCCTCCTCCTCTTCTTCCTCCTCTTCCTCCTCCTCCTCTTCCTCCCCCTCACTCTTGAGGGCAGTGGTGATGGTGGCATTTGGGCCACCCCCGAAGCCAGCCTCCCGAAAGCAGGCAGCTATGTCCGAGGGCTCCACTGCCTGCCAGGCGGCAGCCACAAAGTGCAGGGCCTCCATCAAACCTAGCTGCAGGCCTGAGCGATCCTGGCCTTCCAGCGCCGCCATGGCCTTAAGTAGCATAGCCTGGCGGTAGTGGCCCTTCACCTGTTGGACCACTCCCCGCTCCAGCGGCTGCACCGTGCCCGGAGGGAAAAAGGCCAGCTGTACGTGTCGCAAGCCCGAGGTATCCAGGGACTGGGCAGCCAGGCGGCCTGCCAGCAGCAGGACTCGGCGAGATTCTGCGGCCATGCGAGTGTCCAGGGCCTTCAGGTACTTGGCCAGGGCCTGGGTGGTGACACCACCCTTGGAGTTGGCGGTGTAGTCGCAGGGCAGGCCGGCTTGGCCTGCACGGGGCTTGGCCGACTTGCCGGCCACGAGTGGGGGCAGCTTCTCGCTGCCGTCTGCGTTGGCGCACAGCAGGACACTGAGGCGCTGGGTGGCCCTGCGCGCCCGTCCATCGCTGCCGCATAGCCCCGCAGCCTGGTCGGGGAGGAAGTCGTACCACAGACTCGTCTCGATGGCGCTGAACACGTCCTGGGAGGCGTAGCCCTCGGCCACCGACGGCGGCTGCTCCTCCCGAGCGCGCCAGCCCGTTGAACCCCCGCCGCTGCCCTCCGAGGGCACCGCAGGCGGGCTGGCGGGAGCCGCTGGGGGCCGGGGGGCGGCACTGCGCGACCGGGCGCGGGCCACACCGCTGCAGGACACCACACCGTGGCGCCGGCGGAAGCGGTCCAGCCAACCGTTGGAGGCGGTGAAGTCGTCCATGCCCAGCTCCTCGGCTATACGCAGCGCCTTCTCCTTGAGGATGATGCCCTTGACGGGTAGGCCAGCGGCGCGGATCTGCTGGAACCAGGCGATGAGCAAGCCCTCGAGCTTGTCATAGGGGGACAGCTTGTTGGTTTTGCGGCAGGTGGAGGCCACACCGTACTTGCGCTCCGACGCCAGGATGGCGCGCTTGTTCTTCAGGATGGTGCTCAGCGTGGACGGCG